CTCTGGGTGTCCTTTGGATGCCCAGCAGAGCTTGGCCATCCAGCAGAGGATCTGCAGGCCAGTCAGGGCTGGCAGGAGGATCTCAGCGTGGGTGGGAGGCTGGGGCACTGTCTGGGGGCAGTTCTTGTCCAGCAGAGCAGAACAAACCATGTGGGTGAGCCTCAACATTCCAGGCTTGTCAAACCTGATAGTGAAAGAGGGATTCATCTCATTAACCCTTAGATGTCTAGAGTGGAGAGAAACAGGGACATTTAGGACACAGTTCCTTGCAGCTTCTTCCAGTATCTCCTTGGGATGGATTAATCCACTGGGATAGATTGTGCCTCAAATTCCAGTGGCTGCACTGATAACACCTGACCTTAACATGAAGGCAGAGGTGCTTGGCCAGCTCAGACCTGGTTGTCCAGTTAATTAAATCACACCTCAGCTCTAAAAATGAAAGAGCAAGAACCTCAAATAATAAATAAAATACCTTTCAAATAAAAAATAAAATACCTTTAACCCAGTCTCAGCAAATATTCCTGCAACCGATTACCCGTGTAGGAGGATGGATGGATGGATGGATGGATGGATGGATGGATGGATGATGGATGGATGGATGGATGGATGGATGGATGGATGGATGATGGATGGATGGATGGATGGATGGATGGATGGATGGATGTCAAGGTCATCAGTAGGAACTCACACTTTGCCCTCAGGAAGCCTCCTCGTGCCCCCCTCAGTGCCTCACAGCAGCCATAAATGGTTACTGTGCTTTACACACACTTAAATAATAAAAACCTATTTAACTGACTGCTCGGGAGGATAGCAATAAAACACCACTTGCCTGCAAGTGGCTTAATTGTTTTTCTACTCATAAAAATGGACTTCTTTGGGGAACAAAGTTCTTGGACAGCCTCTCCTCACTACTTCAGTAGGAAACCTGATACTAAAATCAGCTGAGATCATCTAAGGCAGTCCAACTGCTGCTGGATATGGGCCACTGGATGATTCTCTTGGCCCACTGCCCTTCTCCTGGGAAAGATAGGGAGCAGATGTTGGATCAGCACACAATAATTGAACACCCGGGAGTCTTCTTCTCTGCTTAGCAAGCTAAGGCAGCATCTCACTGTGGGGCTTTTGAGGTAGGACTGCCATAAATTCTGGAAGTTTTGAGAGAACACAGAGCTTTGTTTTTGCTTTCTTGTGGGTTTTTTGGAGCGGCGGAAGAGCTTCCTTAAGCCTGCAAAGTGAACACAGATGACATTTTGTGGGAAGAACAAACATTTTGCTGTGAAGTTTTTCCTGTCCTACATCATCTAATGCCCTCATCATTATAGAGTGCATCCTCAGGAATTGGGCCAAGGACAGTGAGGTGGTGGTGTGGTGGACATTTAGGAGAGCAGAGAAGGTTCCAAAGGACAGGCTGGAGAGGTGGGACTGTACAAACCTCGTGGAGAGCAACAATGCCAAGTGCAGGGTGCTGCACCTGGGTTGGGGCAATCCCAAGCATAAAAACAAAATGTTGGGCAGGGAATGAATTGAAAGCAGACCTGAGAAGTGGTAAGAGTCTGGACAGGACCCAGCACTGAGCAGTCCCAGTCCAGAAAGTCAATCGTGCCCTGGCTGCATCAAAAGAAGGGTGAGCAGCAAGTCGAGGGAGGTGATTCTGCCCCTCCACTCTGCTCTGGAGAATCCCCACCTGCAGTGCTGGTTCCAGCTCTGGGATCTCCAACATAAGGAGGACATGGACCTGTTGGAGAGAGTCCAGGGGAGAACAAAAATTTGATCTAAGGGCTGGAGCCCCTCTGTTCTGGAAACAGGCTGGGAGAGATGGGAATGTTCACCTGGAGAAGAGATGGATCCAGGGAGAGCTCAGAGCCCCTTGCAGGCTCTAAAGAGGCTCCAGGAGAGCTGGAGAGGGACTTAGGAAAACAACTGGAGTGACAGGACAGAAGGAATAGCTTTAAACTGAAAGAGGACAGGGTTAGAGGTGATATTGGGAAGAAATTTTTATGGGGATGGTGAGGCCCGGCACAGGGTGCCCAGAGCAGCTGTGGCTGCCCCTGAATCCCTGGAAGTGCCCAAGGCCAGGCTGGACAGGGCTTGGGGCTACATGAGATAGTGGAAGGTGTCTCTGCCTATGGCAGGCGGTTAGAACTGGATGATTTCTAAAGCCCCTTCCAACATAAATCATTCTGTTATTCCACAATCTTTAATTTATTTTCTTTGTGAGATGTGACTAGAGAAGACGGCAGACCTGCAGGAAAATCCACAAAGCAAAGCTTTGGAAGTTCCAGTTGATTCTTCAGCCTGCTCCATGGTGCTGGAACAAAACCAGGGCTGAGTGCACTCACAGCGTGTCTGTACAAGGTTTTCTCCAGAGGAGGCATCTGTGCTGCCGTGGGGCTGTGGCTGTGCCAAGGCACTGCAGCAGGGCTGGCTGGGCTGCTCTGCTCTGGGGCTGTGCCCCCCGGGCTCCTGAATATGGGCTCAGAGCCACAGGGGCACCACAGCAACTGGGACAGGGCTTTTCATGCTGGACATGTCATGGAGTTAGTTCATTTTATAAAAAAATTGCCTTTTTTTCCCCTCTCCTTTCTTTAAAGGAAGTAGGGTGAGTTGGTTTTCTTAGGTTTTACAGAGGTAGGGTAACTGAGAGGCATTTTAAAAGATTTTATTTTATTATCAGTCTCAATGAGACTGATACTAGAATAAAATGAGAGACACAAGAATAAAATAGTGAGACACAAGACATGTAAAACTCAACACCATTCTATCAGAAGCTGACTTATTTCTTTGTTACAGTACCTTATAAATGTTTTTCAGCCTCTCAGCTTTTGCTACACAAAACTTCTTATTACTTCTAACACCAATTATTTATATTTTTTCTCCACGTAGCCCTGCTGCAATGCATCTTTCAGAGTTATAATTCTCTAAAATATCTAATCTTTTTACAAAGTCATAGTTTGAAACTTGTTGAAACTTATTTCTAGTTCAGTCTCTCTCTCAACAATGTCATCTCTATTCCATAGTCTTCTTAAGTCAACACACCTTATCCCAGTGTTTACGTACAGATGTACAAGGCTGTGTGAACTTTCTGTCAGGTTTTAAAAATTCTTTACAAATCCATTTCTCACAAGGGTGAAGGGAAGGAGGATTTGAAATTATGTTACGTGCTATGGGAAATAGAGGATGGGAGATGCAGAAAATGAAGGGGGAGGAGTAAAAACCTGGAGAAAAGGAGGCTCAGGAGAAACTTTATCACTCTCAACAACTCACCAAAAGAAGGCTGTAGCCAGGTGGAGATTGGTCTCTTCTCCCTGGCAGCAAGCCCCTGGACATGAGGAAAAGGCCTCAGGATGTGCCAGGGGAGGTTCAGGCTGGACATCAGAAAGAATTTCTGCACTGAAAGGGTGGTCAAGCACTGGAAGGGGCTGCCCAGAGAAGTTCTGGCATCTCCTTCCCTGGAGGTGTCCAAGGAATGACTGGAGGTGGCACTCAGTGCTGTTTAGTTGACAAGGGGGTGTTTGGTCAGAGGTTGGCATCAATGATCTTGAGGTCTTTTCCAACTTTAATGATGCTGTGATCCTATAAAAAGATAAGCAGACAAAAGGACTTCCACAGCAGAAAGGGCCTAGGCATACAGGTGTCAGGGAGTTTCAGGGTAATTAGAAAATCTCATTAGCAGGCAGCTGCTCTTCCATCATATCTCACAGAATTTGGTTAAGGATGGGGGCATTCAGCACCTCAAATTCTCAACAGGGATCTGTGGGGCCTGAGAGCAGCAAAATCAGCGTGGGGCCAAGTGTCTCCATGGGATATCCTGGCAGAGGACTCCTCTGGGCCTGCTGTGGCTGCTCAGGCTCCTTCAGTGCTCATTTTCCAGCTCTGGAGAGCCTCCCCTCGAGCCCTGTGCAGCAGGGAGCAGTGCCTGGATGCTCTGATGCAGGTACTGGACATGGAACCACAGAATCCACAGAATTCCCAGAATGACCAGGTTGGAAGAGACCTTCAAGATCATTGAGTCAACCTGTTCCCTGACACCTCAACTCAACCCTGGCACCCAGTGCCACATCCAGGCCTTGTTAAACACACCCAGGGATGGGGACTGCACCACCTCCCCGGGCAGCCATTCCGGAACTTTATCACTCTTTCGGTAAAAAACCTTCTCCTGCTATCCAACCTGTATTTCCCTTGGCTCACCTTGAGACTGGACACCCCTTTCCCTCTCTCCAGTCCTCCCCACAGCTCCTCTCCAGTCATTTTCCAGCACCTGGTGCCACTCCTGCATGGCTGTTCCAGGGGTCCTGTGGATCTATGGCACTGCAGGACAGTGCAGATGCTGCTGTTCTGTGCAGACATTTCCCTCTCTAGGTGTGCATCTCCTGTGGAAGATTGGAAGATGAGAGAATCCTCTCTCCAAGCTCAGAGAGCTCAGCCGGGACACAGGCCACCTTCCCATCTGCACACATCGTCTGCAAAATGGTGTTTCCAGCTGAAATTCCTGCTCTGCTCCCCCTCAGTTCCTCACCCTGACAACTCCAGCTACTTTATCGCTTCTCTTTGCAATCAACCCTGCAGGTCCGGGGGAAATTGGCTCCTTTCATCCTCCCTCGCACAGCCCCCGCTCGCTCCCAGCAGCGATGCCATCCTCCCTCCCATCGCCGTGTGCTGCTGACCCTGCCACGGAAATGAAATAAGAAATAAAAAATTCTGGGACAACAAAAACGGGTAAGGCGACAGGGAGAAGGCAGATTTGGGGTACGTGAAAAAAGGAAAGGAAAAAAAAAAAAAAAGGAGAAAGGGTGTTCGATTCGGGGAAATTTGATTTGAATAAATCCCTCCTCCCGCTCCTCCTCATTGGTTTCTTTTTCTCCTCCATATTAATGAGAGCAGCCAAGGAGAAGCTATTGGTTCCGTATCGCTTTCCCTTTGCTCAGGCACTCGGGGGAGGAGGTGTTTGCATTTCTCCGCAGGACCAGCTCGCTTTGCAGAGCATTGTCTGGGTACGAGAATCACACACAGGCACAGGGGCAGGGGCGAGCGCACCGGAGCATCTCAGCCCGGCACAGCATCCCAGCCAGCCTGAGCACCCCTCTGGTCCCCCCGCCCCGAACACCCTTAAAAAAAAAGAAAACAAAAAATAGAGAGAGGAAAAAAAAAAAGTTTTGAAATATCCCACCTCCCTTCTTGCTTTTATTTTGTTGTTGTTGTTTGAGTTTTGTGGTTTGGTTTGTTAGGAGGTTTGGTTGTTTTTTTTGTTTTTTTTTTTTTTTTTTCTGATTTAGCGATGGCAAATTCCTTCACGGCCAGGAGCTGGCCGCCCATCCCCTGAGCAAAGGCAGCCTGGACATGACCGGCAGGCGAGGGAGGAGGAATTTGGATTCCCTTCGGAGGCAGGGGGGAGCCAGCGCGGGCAGCGGGGCTGGGACCGCTCCCCGCGGCCACTGTCCCCCCGCGGGGATGCGGCATCGCCAGCGCCGGGACCGAGCCCTGCTGCAATGGTGAGTCCTTCCCCAGCTCCTCCCGGGCCATCCCCATCCCCCGAGGATGCCACAGGAACCGCCGGCTTGGCTGGCATTGATCGCTGATTTACCGGCTCGTCCCCAGCTCCTGGGGACACTTCTTCTTCATGCGGGCTCGGAGGATGCGTCCTCCAGATTTGGTTCTCTGCAAGCAAATCAATCTCGCTTTGCTGGCGGTGACAGGTTGAGGCGCTCGGTATGGGAATCACGTCTGGTTTTTAACACAATATGGCTGGTAAATAAAACCTGATTGCTAAGAGCCCCGCCGCTGCTGCCGGCGTTTCCCGATGCAGCTCTCTGCATCCTCACCCTCACCTGCCGCAGAAACTCTGATTCAGCCTCCGAGCGGTGCAGCAGGACTTGATCGGTTTTACTGTGGGGTAGGAGGGAGAAACTGCGGGTTCGTGTGCCTTTGACCTCTGGGCACTTCTCCTTATCGGTGTTTGAGCAGCTGGCTCTAATAATACCATCTTCATGCCGAGCACATCTCCAGTCAGGGGGATGGCATGCAGGACAGGCTCCTTCCCTCCCGCTGTGCTCTGAATTTAGGATGGGAAGCGTTCAGGTATGTGTTGGAATCTGAGGAGTTTGCAGCCAGAATGTGGTAATGCAGTTTGCTGTGCAGAACTGGGGAAAAAAAGGGAGATTTGATTAGTGGCACGCTGGTGTTTATGGCTACATGATCATCCCACTTACACAGCAGCAGATCTGGAAGAACTCCCTGGAAGTCAGTGGATTTCTTCTGCATCTGATCTGCAGGTAAACAGAATCTGGCCTTTAGCTTGAAGGATGTATTGGAGGTAGCTGCAATAAGGAGAAAATCTTAACTAAAGTGAATAAGGGCAGCAAAGTGATGTGATTCTTTCTCAGGGAATTATCAATTACCATCCGTCTGGTGCATGTTAATTACAGTGTGTGTGGTGGACTGGTACAGCAATATGCAACTGAAGCAGCATGTTGGGTTTTTCTATTTCATCTGTTGGAGTGAAAAAAAAAAAAAAAACAAACCAAATGGGTTTGCACTTGCTGTTATTTGGGTACACAGCCCCCTCACTGCTCTGCCCAGCCTATGCAGCGCTGGTCAGGTACAGCAGGGAAATGTTTCCATGGATAATCCAGGGGAATGTTTGATTGCTGGAGGTTAATGATAGCACAGAGGCAAACTCCTGAAAGTGCTCCTGGTGTAGCTGCAGAGAAAGAACGTGTTATACAAGCATCTCTCTTTGGCTGATGCCAGACAGCCTGGAGCTGGCTTGGAGGAAGTTGTCCTGTAGGATGGGTAAGGCAATATTGGAATTTGGTGAATAATTAAGGAATGCTGGTCAGGGCAATAAGGGGAGTTGGATTCGAGTTGATGGATTAGAGTTGATGTGTCTGCTTGTGTGTGGGTTGTGGTCTCCCACTTTTATTCCCACCTTTTTCCATGTGCTGTGGGCCAGGGTTGCTGCTTTGCTGTCATTCAGGACAGCTCCAATTGATCTCATTTTGTCCTGGGCATTTATCTCAAGATTTCCGCTGTTTTGTTCTCTCCAACCAAAGACGTGTGAATGGCTGGGAGGATAACCACAGCCTTCAAGGTCAGGAGGAGGGGGTTTTTTGTGGGATAAACACACTTATTTCTCTTTAAACAGGCTTTGTGCTCCCTCCTTGGCTTTAGAGTTCCATCATCAGTGGGGATCCCTGCAGGAAATTGGAGGGCCCTTTCCTCACTGTGGGTTTAGGAATTCTGCTGCTGGGGCTCTTTCCTCACTGTGGGTTTAGGAATTCTGCTGCTGGGGTTCTTTCCTCGCTGTGGGTTTAGGAATTCTGCTGCTGGGGCTCTTTCCTCACTGTGGGTTTAGGAATTCTGCTGCTGGGGTTCTTTCCTTGCTGTGGCTTTAGGAATTCTGCTGTCGAGCCTCCTTCCTCATTGTAGGTTTAGGAATTCTGCTGTTGGGGCTCTTCCCTCATTATGGTTTAGGAATTCTGCTCCTGGGGGTGTTTCCTCACTGTGGCTTTAGGAATTCTGCTGCTGGAGCTCTTTCCTCATTATGGGTTTAGGAATGCTGCTGTTGAGGCTCCTTCCTTGCTATGGGTTTAGGAATTCTGCTGTTGAGGCTCTTTCCTCACCGAGGCTTTGGGAATTCTGCTGCTGGCACGGTGGTGCCTCAGCCCCACAGGGCTGCCCAGAGCTGCTGCTGCTGTTTGTGAGGCTCACAAAACAGGAGGGAGGCAGGAGCTCTGTTGTGGGATGCTACCAAGGAAAGAGAAAACCTGAGATTTCTGAGCTGGTGGGCTGCGCTGCTGAGCACATTCAGACCTTTGTTCATCACATCTCTCCTCGTTTGGCTGACTGAGACAGCATCCTGGAGATATTTTTTTCCTGGGGTTGAGTTCCATATGTGCCTGTGCCTTTGCTAAGTTGAGCCCCGTGTCCCCGAGCTGATTCATTCCAATGTAGCAGATTTTGTTTGCCTTTCCTTCCTTCTGAGCACACTTAGTACAAACAGTCTAATTCCTAAATTAGCTCAGATTATCTTTTAATGAAAGCAGAGTATCTGAGTTAAGAAGAGCTGAGAAAAAAGTGAACTCAGGGCAGAATCATGCTGCAGCTCATGCCTGGTGGGGAAACCTGCAGAAATATCAGGTCTTGCAGTTGGTCCTGATTTTAACAGAGAAATTGCTTATTTGCCACTGCTCCCAGGAGAGGAAAACTGATCTGAGGATGTGGAAGGCAGCGGAGATGCTCAATTTTATTTCACCCCCTTCCTTGGCCCAGAGAGCGCAGCCACAATCTTTAAGTTAAGGAGGAGAATTTGTTTGTTGGCTTGTGTTTCCTTGTTTCCATTTCCTCTGCTCCTGTCACGTCCAGCCAATCCCATACCATCTGTGCTCCAGCACACACACTGCAGTCAACAGGATTTTGGAGTGAATTTTCCACATCAGGACAGAAGTGGAACAGCTCTGCTGAAAGGGATGTAAATGCAGCAGTGAGAAACTCTTTCTCTCTTTATTTTTTTTGCTATCCATAACTTGAAAGTCATCTTTGCTGACAGTGTCTGGTCAGGGTGAGCTGTGGCACCACTGAGAGAGGCTGCTCAGAGCATCCCTGAGGAGACTTTCCCAGCTCCCTCGGTGCTGAACTTGTTCTGATCTTAGGGAATGCTTTGCATACGGAAAGGTGTTTGGTACTTTTCCACAGCACTAACAAGTTCTAGAATCCCTGTGTCTGTCGTGGCTGCTGAAACGCTGTTTGGATTGTAATGGAGCGGGCACAAATATATGGGGAAAAAAGGCAGATTTTTTTTTTTTTATAATTATTTTTTCAGAAGCTTCGTGGCAGAATGTCCACCCCTCACCCCATTGCTTTGCTGGTGTTTTATCCTCTGCCCACCTTTTGCTCTCCCAATTTATTATCTGTCTCCTTAGGCTCGCACTTTTAGCTGCACAAGGCAAACTAGGAATGAGTGTAAAACTCCTGGGTTGTTCAAGCCTTGTTTATGTAACTCACTGCAGCTCAGTGATTGTGTCCCCCTGCAAGCTCATCTCCAGAGGGGCCAGATTAATAATTTCAGGGCTGAACTTCTCAGGACAAGCTAAACCATTCCATCTCCCAAAGAAAAGGCAGAAGCATCACCACACAGAGGATTTAACGCCAGTGTGGCTGCTGTGCTGAGGAATATTTCCTCAGAAGGGTCCTGCAGAAATAGGGACTCTTGTTTGCTGCTCTTTTGTTAAATACAAATTATTGTAAATACAAATAATGTTAAATGGAATTTTGTTAAATACAAACAATTTGTTAAATACAAAATTATTTGTTAAATACAAATACTTCAGTTTATCTGGAGAGACCCTGAAAATCTCATCCCTGCTCATTCAGGTGTCATATCTTATTCCTTGATAGAGAGCTACAATCTGAAACTACTTTGGTCTATTTGACTGCCATAGTTTTGGGGTGTTTTTTTAAAGTTTTTAAAAGTGGAAAAATCTCTGCTTAATGCCATTGTTAAAAGAACCCCAAACTAAAACAAGCACCAAAATACCCAAACAAATAACTCAATAATTTTAGATTTTGTTAATGTAATTCATAATTCACTCTAAAACTGAGAGAAAAGGGGACAAGTATGTATATGGTCAAATTCTTCTTAATAATAATTATGGCAATAGCAATATAAAATAATTTATTTTGTAACACATTGGGAGTACTGCTGTCTAAGAGCTCCTTCCTGAGCACACATTAAACATCTGCCAGGTCTGTTTTCAGGTTTGTCCATTCAGTTGGAGGCATTTCACAAGAAATGTGCCTCAATCACAGTGGCTTTTGCACCCCATTAGAGACGCTTGGGTCACGATTGCTTGGGAGCTGCAAATGGAAGGATAATTATGGTCTGTTATCTATGATTTGTTGCTTTGCTAAATGGAGCTTAGGGTTAGGGCAGGAAAAGATGTTTTAATCTGTGTGGTGGGTTAATAGCCCGGATTTTTTTTCATTTTTTATTAATTTGTTGCTCAGAATCAGGCGAATTTTGCTGCTTTCTCTCCCTGCAAGGGACAGTGCATTGTCCAGTTTGATTCTGTGAGGATTCTTAAGGGGAAAAAAAACCCCAAAAATGTGTTGAATGGAAATGTGACTGAATTAAGTTCTTGGTTTCTGGGCAGCAGATTCATCATTAGGTCCATCTTTGAGGGCTGGAGGATGTATAAATTGACTCATTCTCGAGAGGAAACTTGTCCCCAAAGGATCCCCTGGCAAAACTATTGCTCATTTCATGTGGAAGGAAGGATTTCTCACTCAGAAGTGTTTGGCTGCCTGGAGGATGCTCATCTACTCTCTGAAAGCATCTGCAAACTGAATTCTCACATCCAAGCCAATCCCCCTAATTCATTGTGTTAGGAATGAGCAGAGTGGCTCATGCCATCCTGGAGGGGGTCAGGTGAATCAGCCCGTGGAGGTTCTTGCAGCAGCTGACTCAGACACACATCCTCAATCAGGCAGATGG